TTAATGGTTGTTTGAACTTTATTTTTAATGGTATATTTAAGTTTATTTTGGTTTTTTATTTGCTTTGCTTATGAATGCTTCACCATCTAGGCTTGTAAAAGGCATGGAAATTTCCATTTCTTAGATGAAGGTTAGGTATTCGAAAGAATCCTAGACTAAAAATACTTGTAAGTATTCGGAAGAAAAGCAAGATAAGATCCTCATAAGTAATGAGTTATAGTATTTTCAAGGGGCTTTGAACCAGCCTAGGAATATTATAACTTAATCCCTTAGATCTCGGAAGAGGCTAGGATAGGATTTCAATGACTAAAAAGGGTGTCTTTATCAATGGGTAGGCTGGCCAACATCGTTGAGTGAGAGGCAGATGCCTTGGCATCCTATTCTGTTAGGTTCTTTAGAACACTTTAGGAAAGCCCTGTCGAGTAAGTAAAGACCAGTTAGCTTAAATATACTTGAGAAATAAGTTTAGCATCCGTAGATTAATCCCTACCATTGATTCTCTTGGAAGCTTGTCACGTGAGGATTATTTTCTTTTCATTTTATCTTTATTTACTGTTTTTACCATTTTTCATTGCCTTGACATTTCACCATACTCAACATCAAACATCCATCATTGCCATTGCATTTCCATTTGCTATACCATCAGACCATCACTACATATCCACCAGCATACACATTTACATTGCCGTGACATTTGTATATATCAAGACTAACTATACTTAGATAGAATAGTGCATTGCTTTGGTTAGACTTTTGTAATTTCACCCAATCCCTTTGGAGACGATACTCACTCATCATTATATTACTTGAGCGATTGTGTATACTTGCACATTATTTGAGTATAATTTATAGTACTCACAACACGCGAACACCTGTAAAATAAAAACTGATTTTATTAAACTAACTTGTAATAGTAATAAGATCAGGGCAAATCCCAAGAGAGATGAAATTAGAATCTAAGCTGGCGTTTGGTTGGATGGAATCCCTTGGAATTGGGGGGAATTGGAATCCAATTCCACCACTTTCCCATGTTTGGTTCAAGTTTTCCAAGGGAATTGGAATCCCTCATGGCTTCAACTTTTCATCAAATGAGGGAAAGTGAATTACATCCAAGAATGGATGGAATTCAATTCCCTTGTTGGAGGGAATTGAAATTTGACCATACTACCCTCATCAAACTTTTGGTAACTTATTCATATATTGAATAAAAATATTTTTTTATTATTTCGGGTTGGGTCGGGTTTCTAATTCATATTTTGGGTCGGGTCAGGTGAAACTTTATTTTGGTCGGGCCGGGTCAGTTTTTTTAAGTGTGATATTCAGGTCGGGTCGAGTTCGGGTTTAGGGTGAAAAATACCCGACCCGAAAATACATATAATTTTACCTTATATATTTAGGAATAATTACAATAATACCCCTCTATGTATATATTTTTTCAATTAAATCACTGTTTTTATTGAATAAAAATACTTTTTTATTATTTCGGGTCGGGTCGGATTTCTAATTCATATATTCGGGTCGGGTCGGGTTTTTTAAGTGTGATATTCGGGTCGAGTCGGGCTTTTTTAAGTGTGCTATTCGGGTCGGGTAGGGTTCGAGTTTAGGGTGAAAAAAATCGAACCGACCCGAAAAAAATATATAATTTTACCTTATATATTTAGGAATAATTACAATAATACCCCTCTATATATAATTTTTTTTAATTAAGTCAATGTTTTTATTGAATAAAAATAATTTTTTTATTATTTTGTGTCGTGTCGGGTCGGGTTTCTAATTCTTATATTGAATAAAAATAGTTTTTGGTATATTTTTTGGTAACTAATTAACATACTCCGATTGGAATGTATCGAAATATTGCTCTATCTTTTGGTAACTTATTAACTGTTGAAAACATTTTGATGTTTCGATATAACAAATTAAGTTAAATGAATTTTAAGATTTTACAAATGATTTTCTAAAAGTATATTCGATTTAATTACTCGAATATCAAATTATTACTCCAAGTCTGTTAAGATCAATTTCAAACCTTACTAAATGTGTAAAATTGTGTTTTATACTTAATATATTTTTGAAACAATTTTCACAAAGTATTTTGAACCAAAATCAAGCCTAAAATCAATTTTTTAGAGTGATGCACCGATGAACCAATTTATGCATCGATGCGCCATGAATTAAATTGAACATCGAATGCATTTCATGCATCGATGCACATACCATGCACCGATGCACCAAGGATGTTATGAAAACATCGAATGCATTTGATGCATCGATGCACTAGTCATGCATCGATGCACTCTGGCTATTTTGAAACATCGAATGCACTTGATGCATTGATGCACTCTTAGTGCACCGATGCACTAAGGGAGTGCACTGATGCACTAAGGGTCCAACGGTCAAAATATTTGAATTTTACACTGATGCACCGATGCACCATGGGTATGCATCGATGCACTGATGCTCCCAACTGCTTTAATTAATTGTTTTCACACTTAAACGGCTCTATTGACTCCACTAATCATTCCCAACATTCAAAAGTGATTCAAGGTGTATTTAAACAAGCTTAGAAGCCATTGATCAAAAACAAGAAACATCAAGCAACTAGAATCAAGTGAGAATCAAAGAGAAAGCATCAAACCTCAAGTTTGAGCATTTCAAGCCTATTTTTCATTCAATATTCATTTTTCTTTCAAGAACACTTATTGTGCTCAGTTGTATTCATTCTTGAGTGTTCTTTTCTTTGTTCTAGAATTGTGCAAACAATCTACCTTGTGAGGATTTCCTTATAAGTTTGCAAATTTGTATTGTTCACTTTGGGAGAGAGTGTTCTCAAGAATTTAGGGTATAATTCTTGAGGGTTTGTAAGGTTACTCTTTGTCCTCAAAAGAAAGACAAATTAGTGAATTTGTGGAAAATCCTTAGTGTGGATAGCTAAGGTAGTGGACGTAGACTTTGGTTGAGAAAGTCGAACCACTCTAAATCGCTGTGCAAATTTCTTTCAATTTTCTGCAAAAGCTTCCACCAAAATTTTTATTGCCAATTCACCCCCTCTTGGCCATATTCGTCAATCGATTAACTCAACATTAACATATTTTGATTGCGATGATTTTAACTTAAGATGTTTATTAGCATGATTTTTATAATTTATTGAAATGAATAATCAATTAATAAAATGAAATTTTAATATTTTTAATTTTTTATAATATATTACTACATGTAAGTTGTAAAACAAACTAAAATAAGGCAAAAAAAATAAGAAGGGCAATTCTGTCATTTTACATTACTAAAATCAAATTCATCTGACATGTCTGCGAACCAAACATAATATGGAATTGGATTCCAATTCCATTTCCTGCCAACCAAACAGAATATGGAATTGGATTCCAATTCCTGACAGATTCAATTCCTTCACAGATTCCAATTCCCTCGTAAACATTTCAGCGAACCAAATGCCACCTAAGTGTTTAGTAATAAAAGTAAAATGAACGGTTTCATCTTATGAAACTAAAATTAAGAAATAAAACTAAAAATAAAAAATAACAAAAATCAATTTTTACCAAACTTCTAATTCAAAAGGTGTGTCCTTCATCCAACTGTAATTTTGATCATAGACTTAAAAGATCAATTTTCAATATCCAAGTAATTAGTCACTTGCTCGAAACCGTAATAAGTATGGTTTCCGTTTTATAATTGATTAGCCTACTCATTTGCAACAAACATTCAAATCAAATCTTACCATTATTGATAACTTTAAGAATCGTGGGAACGACTAAAACAAAATCAATTAATTTTGTACCTTTATTTTTCCGGAGACTATCATGTGCGATACAAAGTTCGGATAATAAATCGTAACAAACACAAATCACGAATTCATATAATAAATGACATAGTTATTTTATTGAGTTTATTAAATAAGACATTGTCATTATTATTTTCAGTCATTTTTTATGTGTGCTTAAATAAACTGTTGAATAATAAAGTTCATAAAATGATATGATTGTTCTTAAAAGTCATTGGCTAAGTATTATTACATACATGAACAACAATAATGAAATTGAGGCTAATGTTTAGTTGATAAATGGCAAAGCATTGTAACTAACATAAAGATGTCATGAATTAATACATGGACTCGATTAATCATAATTGGATCACTGGTTTGGATGGCCACATAATTTTCTGCAGTGCCATAAGGTATACCGACGGTCCCAATAATTATAAAATATGGAACCGTGGTGGTAGTTGGGTTCCCAGAAGGGTCAGGGTAGGAAGATACAACTCACTTTGAAACTGTTGATTATAGTAGGAAACATGGTTCACAGGTTGAGCGGTATCCATGACAACATCCTCCGAAGTGGAGAGAGAACCACCCGCATCTGTAGGCTTCTCTTTATGACGAGGATTTTTTTGTTGTGCGATCGTCGGTCGCGATCGTGAAATCGTCGGTAGGGTTGGGTAGGCTTTGCGTACTAAGATTTTTTTAATCTCAAAATCATTTTGTAAGAACCAAAAAGAATTTTTTAATCTCAAAAAGAATTTGACAGTGTAATTCAATCTTATCCTATATATATATATATAGGGGTTAAATCCACTTATATTATGTAAAACTAATAATTTTTACACTAATTTATAACTATTAGATTTAAATAAATAAATAAATGACATAGATTTGATTAAAATTTATAACCCATAAATACATATTTCTTTAACTCAAGGTAAAAATAATATTTACACCCATTATATTTAAATAAATAAATTACTTAAATTTAATTAAATTTATAATCCATAAATAAATATTTATTTAACTCACAATAAAACAAATTTTTTAAGATTTAGAGTTTAGGATTTAAAATTTGAGACTTAAAGTTTATGATTTGAGGTGTTGAGAAAAAAAATATTGTTTTACCTTGAATTAAAGAAATATACTTATTTATGGGTTATAGATTTTAATCAAATCTAAGTCATTTATTTATTTAAATATAATTACTATAAATTAGTGAAACCTATCCCCAAATATATATACTCGTTTAAATTAGAGTCAATTAGTATTGTAACATTATAGATGTTTACAATAAAATTTAAACAGAAACTCAAACAATTCAACTGAATTATAAAATAAGACTAGTCAACTCGATTAACTTGAATATTTTAATTCAAGTCGATCAAATACTCACTCCTCTTGGTGCTTGGAGTTGACCAATCCGTCTCATTCGAGTACCTTCAAACACAGAAATGCTTGTTCCATACAAATTTTAACATGCTAGACAAAGCAAACGTTACAAAACTCCAATCAAAGATGAAATTCTGGGTTTAGTCTCAGTGATCCTTACGAGCTTTAGATCTGGCAGGCTTTGCTGGTATTATATAACCAAGAAGAATCAATGTTATTGGAACTATGGTTCCAATATAATATACACTCCCGTACAAAGCAAGCGACTCACGCAAGTTCAATACCTGTACCATACGAATATGCGATACGTAAACAAAAAAGCATATTAAATACTATACAATTAAGCAAAACGAAATTACGTATATAAAAAGAGATATCTATTATATTCATTTTTGGTCCCTCTTCATCACACACCATCCATCCATCCACCCATTCATTAGTACATGAACATTAATATAAACAAACGAACATAAACAAACGAACATAAACAAACGCTATACGAACGATTCAAGAACAATTCACCGAACGCTATGTTCATTTACACCCCAATGCATGTTGGACCATTTCCAGTTTGGTTATTTATTTCTACAACGTCCTGTACATAATACATCATGTCGACAGTGTTTCCATGTGGGACAACGTTATGAAAACAGAATAAGAGGTTTCTCATGTCCATGTTTCATGGATGATACACAGTGAGTGGCTTGTTTGGATGCATATGGTAGGCAAATATTATACTATTTCTAGCTAATCTCACGAAAATGATACTTTGAGAGAGAACTAACCAGAAAACCGACTGCAGAATAGTTCAGAACCAGCAGTGTGTAAGCAAAGTTGACGAAGACAAGTACTTTCTTCACTAGACCCATATTTGTAGGAATTGCTTGTTCCCATCGGTAAATAACTAATCAGAAAGGAAGTGAGAGTTAAAAAATAATAATATTAAAAAATAGATACCGAAAATAATCAAGATGCCTATGTCAGTACCTCTTGAACCAGCAATCATCAAAGCTGACTGAATAAAGAACAGCATGTACCCAGGATATAGTCCCTATTTACAAATGAGAAGAAAAAGGGCAAGAACTAATGAGAGAAGTGTCGCGGAAAACCAGGGCGAAATCTATCCGTCATATTCTTTTAGGATTGTTTTGTAAAAAAAAAAGGAGAGGGTATAGTGAACATAAATGTTTTCAGCAAAGTAAAATGACTCACATGCCAAACAGCACTGATGGTCTGCGTGGCCAGCAACTGGAAGAAACCAGGTTTCTTCCCCTTTTTAATTAGTCTCTCATAAACATCTGCACCAGCACAATTTAAGTTAAAAAATGTCACTCATCTCTATGACTTCAGCCTGCATTTATCTCAATGGTTGATTTTAACAAAAGTAAAGATTGTCGATAGAAAAACTAAAAAGCCATGTCATATTCGTAATCTAATGTATGGTAAATTATTGATGAACTGATTTTCTTTCTTACATGTCTTTCACTCGTTAATTATGAAATAGTTTTGAAGGAGAGTGAAAAAAAAGTTACAATTGGATCGTACCAAACCATCAAGATTCCTCGACAAATACATGAACACAATCTTTAGTCCAGAAGAATAGAGAAACAAACAGAGTTGAGTTCAGAAACCAATTCCAAAAGTTGTGTAGATTTTAAAAAATGTTAATACGTGCACACAAACACATCATATTTAAGAAAAAAAAATAACAAAAGCAGCATAGAAAAGAATAGTGGGTGGAAAGACTCACAGTGACGAAGCCAGGTGCTGACTTGTATGTTCCAGACAAGTGGTAACACCACTGAACTCTTTGCTAGCTCAACCCCTAGGATGTCAACATTCTTTGCCCGATCCCATTTTGGTTTTGGTGGTGAAGATTCCGTCCAGCCACTGAAACCCAGGCCAGATATAATAATGGAAGCCTCTGAAATGGACCAGATAAAATAGTACTTCCATCTCGCAGTAAAGGCAGACATATACTGGAAACTTAACCTCCTCCAGAATCCCCATTCTTGGTATATAGGTTCACTGAACCGTGACAAGGGATGATACGGAACAAGGTAAAGATACACTGCCATGGATATAACAGCTTGTACAATTGCTCGGAGAGTTGCCCCGTAAGGTGATGGTGATGGCCCTTTATCTGAATGAGCCCAAATCTTCAAAGGGAAAAAAGAGTGACAAGATTATCGAAGCTGCATACTGGTAACTTCAGAGTAAAAAAGGCATGCAAATGTATAAAAAAAATAGACCTACCCCCTTCCCTTCGGTCCACTCAAGGTAGTCCATCATCTCAAAAACTGGACCAGCAAAGTGACTGCCGCAGCATAGGCAGTACCCGACGTATTCAATTAACGAGGGCAACTTAATCAACCGATTTTTCTTCTGAGCCTCGTGTAAGTCTTCGTCTTTCAACAACCCATCATTGTAATTTATTGCACATGAAATGACTTTCAATGTTAACACCATCAATGCTCCTACATATTAGCAGATAGTGTGCTCCACAATTAACGAACATCTATAAAGTACCAAAGAAGCTTTCTCTAGAGGACTTGTGACAAAACTACAGAAAATCTGAAAAAATCAAGTAAAGGCCAATGTGGGAACATATTTGTAATTACAACTCGTGTATAGAAATAAACAAGGGTTGAAATTCATTAGAACTCACGAGCAGCAATATGAAGATTTACCTAATTTATCCAGTTTACTAAATCATTGCAGATCCTCAATATTTTTTTTAAAATTTCAATACTAGTAATCATGGATGGACTAAGGTGGGCGGCTAGGGGCAGCTGCCCTATGAAAATTTCAAATTATCATATATTTTAGATTTTTTTTTCTTTGTATTTTTCATTGATAATATGTTCTCAAACACAAGAATTTTATAAGTTTACCCCCTCTAAAATTTTAGAAATTCACTCCCCTGACATAAGATCATGCGTCTATCCCAGTCAATAATGGCATTTTAAAGAACAACTTCTTAGATGTGAAGGAGAAAATTCAAACATGCTTACCAGTAGCATCAATGCCTCCTTCCTTCCACGCATCCCCACTCATGTAATATATATGGCTAGAAACATACACGAAATATAGAAAATTATGAAACAACAAAATAATTGTTTAGAAATAGTTAAACACCAAGCATGAATAGCCAATTTGACATGAAACAAAGGTCAAAACATAACCCCTTTTTTTCAGAGCAAAACTACCAAATTGGCAACAGATTTTTTCATTAATTAATAAGATCAAGTTTTAACATTCTTCGCATCCAATCAACTCTCATCCATCATAAATTTTCTCTTATGGAAGGAGAATGCACCCCCAAAATAGAAAGCCCTTCTAAAAACCTTTACTTTTGTTCCTAAGAAGAAAGTATCAGTTAGCTACCGAGACATGCATTTCAGTTTAACGGAAACTGAATCGTAACTAAGCATGCGGGCTAACCCAAAATTGAAACTTCCTCACATTTCAGCTCAATAAGGTGAACTTATACTTTTCCAGGATAACTTTACAAGAAAAATTAATGGGAAAAAGGAAGACTTACGAGCCAATCAAGTAACCGAAACTTGAGAAAAATGTGATAATCCCACACTTGGGGCGACAAAGAACCATGGCGACATAACCCAAGAGCATGGGCACCAAGAAAAGCAGATTCGAGGAGACCCCAAACGACAAATAGGAGAGCAACACGCCTGAAGAAGCTGAGTAAACGTGCTTAGGAAGTCTACCCGGAACAAATCGCCACAGGAAACTCACCGGAATGGTGGCCACGAAACACAAGAGGAATCGGAGCACGGCCACCGATACACCGATTGAAGCCGCCATAGTTTCCAAGTCAAGCTCCATATTTTGGTTTTCTTTTCAAGTTGATTGCGGCGGACAGCAACGTTATAAAATGGAAAGATGATTAGGAAATTAATATTTATGGTTAACTACACGACGAATGGTAATTTATATTTATATTTTATGTACTTTTAGTCGATGAATTTAAAAACATAAGGTATAATTACTTTCGTTTTAATTTAATTAAGATATGATCACTCTTAGTTAACTGTCACAACAGTTAAATATTTTGATACAATCACATATTTGATCCATACTATTTTTATATTCTCTCAGTCTAGTCATATTTTTAATAAATTAAAATAAATTTAATTTTTCAATCGAATAATGTCGCATGTCATATTACGTGTCATTATTTAGTTAGAGAACTAACTTTAATTTAATTTAATATATTTATTTCCATTAATCAAAGAGGGACATGTGTCACCCTCTAGTTAAAAGAAAACAAAATAAAGCAAATTGAGACAAAAAAATTCAAACATTGGTCACATAAGAAATTAACATGTATCCAACCATTAAGCTAAGTCTTGTGTTTGGTCTAAAGTAGACAACATGATATATATATATATATATATATTTTGTATCTTAGTATATAGATACTTAAATTCATAATATTTTATATATATTAACTTAAAAGTCTTTTTATATTAACTTATTATATATATATTTTATTACTAATTTAATTTTAAAAATATTTTTTATTTTCATTTAAATATATATTTTTATTTTAAAATTTTATTTAAAAGTATTGAGAGAATATGTAAATGAAAGAGACCAAATATGTGATTATACTAATTATCATGTCATATATCATATTAATTGTTAACCGCAGTTAACATCTAATAACCAAATTTTAATTAAATAAAAAAGTGATCATTTTTTATGTTATTTAAATTCAATAATTAAAAATGAATAAAAACACAAAAATAAATAATAATTCATGTAGTTAACCCAATATTTACTTATAAGTGAGGTTAGATCCGTGAAGTACGCCATGGGTTGCGTGCTGCGTTGGATTGTACGTTTATTTCAAAAGAGTATGGCAGAACGTACAAGAAGTGTATGGACAAAGGCGATGATTTTGATGATGATGTTTGAGTGGAGAAAATCGACTGGTAAGAAACGTCTAATTTGGATTGTTTTAGGAAAGGTGGGTTAATATACGGTTAATATACGATGTTATCGGATACATTAAAAGATATTTAATAAATTTGGTTTAGTTCTACCGGAATTGTTGACTAATAATAATGTAGTAGGTCTAAGTCATGAAGAAATATTAAAAAATTGTGCAACCGGCAAACTTGTCGGTTCGTGTCGATCCAAATTAAAAATATGTCGATCCAAAACGATATAACAGGTAAAACTATGACAAAACCGGTATTGAAATGATAAAACCGGTAAAGCGCTACCGGATACATTTAAAGTGTCGGTACTTTAATATAAGGATCGACACTTCGTGAATTTAAAAGAGAAGCAGTTTTAAATCTTATAAAGTGTCGATACTTTTAAAAAATGTATTGATCCAAAATGATATACCAGGTAAAAATATGATAAAACCGGTATCAAAATGAAAAAACCGGTAAAACGTTACCGGATATATTGAAAGTGTCGATACTTTATATAAGGATCGACACTTTGTGAATTTAAAAGAGAAGCAGTTTTAGCGCCTATAATGTGTCGATACTTTAAAAAATATATATCGATCCACAACGATATAACAGGTAAAAATATGATAAAACCGGTATCAAAATGATAAAACCGGTAAAATGATACCGGATATATTGAAAGTGTCGATACTTTCGTAAGTACATGTAATAAAATTATCGACACTTTCAAAGAAATAGGTAATTATCCTTTCGAAAGTATCGATACATGACATAAAAGTATCGACACTTTTGTATTTGTATCGATTAAATATAAATAACATATCCGATGAAAATATAAAGGTCATATCTAAATATCCTCTGAAAATCGATAGAACGGACGAGTTTTTGAAATCAAAGCGTAATTGTTGCTGCATTTCAGAAGGCGTTTCTAAAGCGATGTTTGTTTGTTTGTTGATGCAGTCGAATCGAAAAGTATGTTGTCGAAACCCTAGTTTTTTATTATTACAGTAATCGCGAATAGGGTTTTTATGTGTTGTTTGGGGTTTTGGAGTAAAGAAGCATTTGGGACCAATTGCAGGTAGAAAGTGATATTGAAGGTAAAATATAAATGTCGATACTTTTATTAAATATTATAGGTAGAAAATGATATTATAGGTTGTATAAATGTGCCGACACATTTTGTAGTGGCCATTCAAATTCTTTTGAAGAAAACCATTTTACCACAAGAGTAGTTATCTATATTTGTATATTGAATAAATTGTATGTAACAAAATAATTTGATTTGCGTAAACTGATATATGAAGGAAAAATGGAGTCAATGGGTTGGAAAATTGTTGGTGGCGCAGATGACTTTGAAATTGAGGCTGAGACTCGAAAGCAACCAAAGGGTGGATATATGTATGTATTTCTAGTAAGTATCAATGTCTTTTTGTTATTATTGTTGAAATGGTAATTGGATTAAAGTATCGATAAACTTTAAATTGATTACAAATTTTAAATGTTGATAGTATGGTCAAATGCAAAAGGATGAAGGAAGATGGCACACAGAGCGGTTCGGTATGTAAAATGAAATTGACATTGAGTAGTATTTAGTGTTAATGTATTGATTAAGAAACGTTTATGTTTAATATTTGGTGACAAAAGATGTGAGGTCCAAATGGAATTCAATGAGTGATGCTGAAAAGGAACCTTACATCACACAGTCAAGGAATGATAGTAAAGAATACAAAGAACGGAGGAAAGCACATGAAAATAAGGTATTCATTAAACTTGTAAATACGTTGATACAAAATATAAGAACTATAACATTATATATTGTTAAAAATGTAGGAAGTGTCGACAAGATGCAACATTAAAAGGGTGAATTCATTAATTAAACACCTTAAGGAGAAGGGTCAGTTGAATGTGCTGGGAGAAATAGGTTTTGGATCGTTGGTAGGAGTAAGGGATCGACCTATTCGGAGGGAATTGTGTCGATCCTTGATGGCGCAATTTGATGTCAGACAATGTATTGCTAAGTATGGTGATTTTTCATTTCCTCTCGGGATCCCATGTGCTGCAGCCGTATTGGGGGTAGAAAATAAAGGCAAAAGTGTTGTAGAAGTCTGTAAGAGTAAGGACTGGAAAGCACTTGCCTCCAAATATGGTTTGAAGCAGAAGGTGACATATGCTGAAATTGAAGAGGAAATAAAAAGTGGATCTTACGTTGGGGATGAGCTGAAGGCCAGAGTTCTATTATACCTTGTCGGTATCTTTCTTTGTCCAACGGGTCATACGTCAACGAACAAGGAACATATGAAGCTCATTTGCGATGAAGGCTTGAAGGGTGAATTCAATTAGGCTGAATATATCCATTCGAGATTGATTGAATCAATAATCACCTTTAAAAAGGGCAGCCAGAGATACCTCAAAGGGTGCATAGCAATCTTAGAGGTAAATGAGTTGAAGAACTTTTTTGTGATTTTATATAAAAATATAAATTTTATTATAAATGCAGGTTGCACTGTTCGATTTTTGGTCGGGCTGTGAGGCAGTGCCGGCTTATGAAAGAACCGGAGTGGCACACATCCGTGCATGGGGGAAGGAAGAGGTGGTTAGAGTGATGGTGAAGTTGAAGTTGGATAGAGAGAAGAAGCAAGAAAGGGTAATAAATGTAATTAAATAATATTAAGAATATAATCAATGTCTTAATATTGTAATTTAATTTTGAATGTTATTGGCAAGGATGTAGAGGAGGCAGTGGAGGCAGAGGAGAAGAAAGGAGAGATGGTTGTATTGGGGGATGACGGTGAGTGGGACGACGGTGAGGGAAAACATAGTAACTTCGACATTTTGATGTCTGAATTGGCTGATATCAAAAAAATCCAATTTGATATCATTCAAAGACAATCAAGAGTCGAAGAGAAACTTGATAGAGTCGAAGAGAAACTTGAGAGAGTCGAAGATACACTTGAGAGGCATAAGGGGGTAGTGGAAGGAAAAATAGATGGAGTGGTGAAAGAAGTAGAGGTGTTGAGGGGTGAAGTGGTGAAAGAAGTTGGGGTGTTAAGGGGTGATATTAAGATGGTGACGGGTGAAAAATTTGAGGGAGTGGTGAAGGAGGTTGTGGAATTGAGGAGTGAACTTACGGGGGTGAAGGGGGTGGTTGATAAATACTTGGATGAAGGAGATCAATTGAAGGGTGAAATAAAAGAGATGAAGAGCTATGTAAAAAAAATACGATGAACTGAAAAAATATGAAGAAGAAAAGAGGGAGGAGGAAGAAGAAGAGAGATTGAAGAAATGAGGAGGAAGGAAGTCGATGTCATTTATATACCGGAGAGTGTTATAGCAGCAGATTTGGATTAGGAATGTCTTGCACCCCAGAAGAAGAAGCAGAAGGTAAGTTGAATAAAAGAAAACTTAATTTGATTTTTTATTATGTTGTTGTGACAAAAATTTGTATGCAAAATTGTAGGTTGAAAAAGCGGATATTCCAAGCGGAATTGATGACATCGAAGCTGCAATTTGTGATTATTTATGGAATAGTGAGTTAGAATCGGAGTAAGTGAAATATATTGCTTTGTGAGTTATATTTAAATATTTCATGACAACATATTAATCCTAATGATTCATACAGATATTCTGTAATCTCAATGGGAAATCAATTCGCTAGTGTATACGACGTTGCAACGTTGAAGCCTACGGAATGGGTTGGCGGTGTGGTAAGTAGAAAGTAGAAAATGTTAAAACTTATTGAATATGTTCTGATTGTGTAATTAATTTTGTTAGGTTATTGATTTGCTCGCCTGGACAGTATGCTACGATTCTCAGAAGTCACTCCGGAGGATTGGCTACCTTCCATACCACTTAGCGGTGAGTTAAATTAATAAATGGAGATAAGTAGTGTTATAGACGGTAAATTAATAATGTTTGTTGCGTAATTGCAGCAGC